TTCTCTACGCGAACAAGTGCAAGGGGGACACATCGGACCTGTGCTCCTGCGTCAACAAACCCCGTCTCGAAGACTGGGGAGCGGACCAGACGTACCAAGCGGTGATGAGCGCCGTGAACGGAACGGCAGGAGCGAATCGCAATCCCCAGTGTTACTTTGGACCTTGCAAGGAAAGAGGCTACAAGGCCGTCAGCTTCTCGAAAGCTGGATGCCCGAGCTGCTTGAACAACATCACCGTCGCAGGAACTGAAGGCGGAGTAGCTAGCCTGGGCAGTGCCGTCCAGTCCTGCCTAGCCAGCGACGCGTCGAGCACTGCGACGACACCAGCCGCCGCTCCCTCCAAGAGCGACACGTCCTCCGCTTCCCCGGGGTCGCCTCAGACGCCGGCACCCTCTCCACCCAAGGGTTGGCTGTATGCTTTGCTCATCCTCGTCGCCGTCATCCTCGTCGCAGCGCTGCTCGAGTGGGTCTTCACAGGCGACAAACCTACTCCGAGACCTGCGGCTTCCACCATGAACCATGCGCCGACCTAGCCGGTGTTCCGAAAAATAATCTGATCTACTTTCCGAACAGCATGTCGGAACCCACAGTGCGATCGATCGATTCCGGCGACCAGAACTCGAACAAAAGCCCCGAAGTGAGGGTCGAGAAACCGCCACCGAGCGCGCATCCGCCAAAGAAGAACACGGATGCATGCGTCCTTCCGCCGAAACCCATCGAACGTTCCAGCAGCTGGTTCCGCTACCTCACCGGATCTTGGTTTTGAGTTGATGGGATATGGGAACGCTCATCAGAGCGTACCATCACAGCATTCGGGAATAATGTCCGCAACTTCAGTTGGTGCCCGTGGTTCGGAAGACTTATGCATGGAAGAGGTCCTTCTTGCATGGCTCAAAGTATCACATTGGGAGCCCCATTGCTACGCTACTTTTTCACGGTTTTAGGGTTTTAGGGTTTAGATTGAAAACCCTCTGTTTGTGCCTTAAGAGTCAAATATTGCATCGCACGGTTGTCAATCGATTTGGGGAATCATATCCATGATCGTCCGTCACAACTACATCACTTTTAAGGGTGTTAGGAGTTTGGGGTTCTAAGAGTCAAATATCGCATCGGACGGTTGTCAGCAATTTCGGGATTAATATCCACGATCGTCCGTTCACAGCATTACCTGTCTTTGGAACGTGCGATTGGTGGAAGTCAATGCAGTAATCCACGATCAACCAATCCCGAAGCATGCTATCTTATAGCTGGCAGTACGTGGTCTAAAATGGATCCCCAGCAACAGGGCACACGTGAATTTTCAAGAATGACTGAACGAGGCAAGAAAGTTGGAGAGCTCCAAACGAGTTCATTGACTTGTGCCACCGACTGTCAACCGGATGTCCGCAGTTGGATATTGACTGGCCAGCGGAGGTGAGCAAGGAGCTTCTTTACGTATTGCGGAGTCCGTGACGGCGTGTTGGTCCACGTCGAAGGCGGGTATTGGGAAAAAATGGATCAAACCAAGCGCTCCTCTGGAGCAACTCCTTCTGTCGACGGTGATGGACCGAATACAAAGAAGCCTCGATTACCAACGGCCACTGAGATGGAAGAAAGCGCCAGCTTCTACGCTACTTATGAAAGCCTCGCAGCAAAAGTGTGCAAAATATCAGCTCAGAGAAAAGGACTATTCAAAGATTTGCTAGAGCTTGAAAGGTCCGGAGAGCCCGTGATGCGGGAGTTCGACAAGATGACAGAGATTGAGAGGGAGCGGCAGACGATTCAACCAGCTGCAGCAGGTAAGCAAATACTCATTCATGCATGAGTTACAATTCGACAAAATGGATGTATGGAAGAGTAAAAGGGATACAGAAAGACAACAACACCCATTATTTCATGTTGCATGTATGTTGTTGTTTGTTTGTATTTCGAAAGGAAGGAGCAAGGATGTTTAAAGGAGCAAGAATGATAGAAACGCCAGTAAGAGTGGGGATTTTGTGTTGTGGTTGAAACAGATCATGGTTTCATGATCTAAAGGGCCCAGCTGTGCAATAGTTCATTCCTTTTCACGATATGTCTTTCATGCTTACAAAAGGAAATGGAGGATAGTGTTTAGTATTTGAACATGAAGGGCGTCAAGTAACACTGTCTTTCATCCTCCGATGGTTTATAAGATGAGCAACATCCTTTGTTTATTATGCACTTTTGCTTGCAACTTGTCTAACATTGGTCCACCTTTGCAGAGAGAGAAGAAGGGTCGTTCCAGGGGGACAAACAGGGATCCTCCAGCGTTCTGCAGC